GCAGCAATGTTCGGGAACAGGCTCTTAAAGCCCCTTCGCTTTTGCCTCTTGGGCCCCTCTTCGGCCTCACTCGGGGCCCTTTTGGGGCTCTCTTGGGTCCTCGTAGGGGCCTCCTGGGCCGTCTTGCGGCCATTTTGGGCAGTTTTTGACCCCTCTGTCTTGGAGTGCCGAAAGCTCGAAACGACGAGAGCGCTCTGAAACCTTTCCAAAAACCGAAGAATATTTGTCGATGTTGGCCTCTTGGCGCCCCCGCGGGGGGAGAAGTCGGAGCTCTCCTGGAGCGTCTTGGGGGCTCTTGAGGCCATCTTGAGGCCATCTTGAGGCCATCGCGGGCCGGCTTGGGGTGCTTTCCTTGGGCTGTGTGGGGGCCCTCTTGGGGCTCTCTTGGCTCGTCTTGGGGCCCTCTTGGGTCGTGTCGGGGCCAGGGCCATCTGAGGCCGCCAGAGCCCTTTGCATACGGGGGGTCCGCGAGGGACCGCCGGCAGAGTGGGGCCCCATCCGAGAGACTTTCACGGAGGTTTTGACCTGGCCCTGATGAATGAGGCCAAACATTGTACCCAATTCTCTCATTGAGAGGTCTCACACGGCCCACACCGCAAACAGGAGCGGCCGGATCGAAGACGCCAGCGGCGCATCATTAGCCGCTCCCTGGCAGTTTGGCGAAGCGGTGCGCAGCATCGAGAGTCGTGACATAGCGCGCATGCCAGCTGTCCTTGCCAGGGGGTGCTTGAAGGCTTTTCTGGAGTATCGAAGACGCCTACGGCGAATCACCGCCGCCCCCCGCCTTATGAAAGCGCCTTAATGTAGCCGAAAGTTGGGCTAGAGCTTGGCCAAGCTATCGGACCATGTGCTCCGTCAGCTGTCGTTAGAACCCTTCGGGGAACACGTGAGGAAGAGGAGAATGAGAAGAAGGATAAGGGAGTAGGAGGAAGAGGAGGAGGAGAAGGAGGAGTAGTCGACCTCTTGGGAGCATCTTGGGGCACTCTTGGGGTCTACCGGGAGCTTCCTGGGAGCCTCTTGGAGGCTAGTTGGGGGTCTCCTTCGGCCTAGTTGGGGGTCTCCTTTGGCCGTCTTAGGGCGTTCCTGGACCGTCTGACGCTGTCAGGTGCCGTCTTGGGGGCCTCTCTGGACCGTCTTGGGGACCTCATGGGGCGCTTCAGGGCCGTCTTGGAGGCCATCTTGGGCGTCATGGAGGCTTCTTGGGTCGTCTTGGGCCACCCTCTGGGCCGTCTTAGGGGCCTCTTGGGCCGTCCTGCGGCCATCTTGGAGGACTCTCGGGGGCTCTAGGGGCGATCTTGGAGGCCTCTTGGGCCGTCTTGGGCCTTCGGAAGGCTGAAAAGAAGCTAATGCCCAAATCTGTCAAAAACCTTTGGGACATCAATGTTTTTAAACCTCGTCGGTCCTGGAGGACCTCTTGGAGGCCTCTTGGGCCCTCTTGGAGACTTCTTGAGGGCCTCTTAGATCGTATTGGGCCATCTTGGAGCCAGGTGGCTTCTCGAGCGGACTTGGAGGCATCTTGGACCCTCTTGGGCTGTCAACAAGGCCATCCAGCAGCTGAACACCGACGACCCGGAGGATTTCCGGGTGTCCAGCGCAATGAGCCGAAGCCCCAGGGGGAGCCTTGAAAAGAACCAACAGCCATCAGACATTTAACACGCTAGGCACCCCTCTGGCAAGCAAGCAGGGGGCGGCGGATGGAAAACGCCTACGGCGAATCACCGCCGCCCCCTGACTTTCTGGATTCTCCAATGTGGCCAGCCAAACGTTTGGGCAAAGTTTGGCCACGCTATTGGACCATGCGTTTCCCCAGCCGTTGTGGAAATCCTTCGGGAAACACGTGGGGTAGGAAGAGGAGGATGCGGAGAGGCAGGAAACAGGAGGATGAGTAGAAGGATGAGGAGACGGATGAGGAGACCTCTTGGGAGCTTCTTGGTCTGAAACAGGAGCTGTTTTAGCGTGTCAGCCTTGTCTGTGAACTTCCGCTAGACCCCCTTTAGCCTCGAGAGGCCCGAGTGTGCTTTAGTTTTCCGAGGTTATGCTCAGCGTTTTGCGTTTATAGGTTTCAGTCTGTTTAGTTGCCCCTCTTGCGCCTGTGCCGTTGTGCGGCCGTTTCGCTCAAAACAGGCTTGAGGGGCCCCTCTTGCAGAGCCGCCTGCCGGCGACATCAGATAGACAACTCAGCACAGAAAAGATCCACATAGCAGATAGAGTACACATCAGCATCATGTTTCATCTTTTACTTCAGGCCGCAGCCTGGTTTCATATCAGCTCCAGCTTGGGAGCTCTGTTCGCAGGACTGTCATCAGCAGCAGCCATGGCCCACGCTCCGCCTGCCGCAGCGAAAAGAAGTCCATTCACATTGGAAGCGTACGTCGTGCAGCTAAGTTCTCGCCGCGATGTCGCGCCCACGGTCGGAACAAGGAGATGAGGTGGACAGTAGCGGGGTGCCGCGGCCGGCGCGGGCGAGGCGGCAGCAACGCCTCCGACGACGCCGAGGACGACCCGCTCTTCCCTCGCGGCCCCGCCCCAGGAGTTCGATGGCGCGCAGGAGCACCGCCAGCGGCCCCGACGTTCTCGGGAGATCACAAGGCGGACCCGCGCTGCTGGGAGCACTGGCGCGACGCGGTGGCCGCCTGGAAGTTCCGCGTCAAGCACTACCTGTCGCCCCTGCCGCTCGCTGAGGCCGCGCTGCAGCTTAGGGACGCCGTCACGGGGGAGGCTTTGAAGGAGATCATCTACGAGCCGCCGATGACTTGGGCTACCCAGGACGGCATCGAGAGGTTGGTTGAAGTCATGCGCTCGCCCTTCGGCGAGGAGGAGATATTCCACACAGGGGACACGCTGGCCGCGTACGAGAGAATCAAGGGGAGCCACGGTGAGAAGCTCCACGCCTATTGCACCAGGTACATCCGAGTCGAGCGCGCCCTCAAGCAGGTCAAGATCAACATTGCCGAGTCCCTGGACGCGCAGGCTCGAGGCCACCGTCTGTTGAGCACAGCGCTTCTTGGTGAAGAACATGCTCGAGGTATACTTTCTATTTCTCATAGTTTCGATTTCGACGGAATCATGAATACCATCGGGCGCCTGTGCCCGGACCCATGGGGTACTGATGCGAAAACCGACTGAGATCATGGCCAACCATCGCCTATCACTTACTCCTTTTGAACGGGACCCCGCCCCCGCAGTACGGCGCTAGCGAAAGCGCGGCCTGCTGTCAGGCCGCGGGACGTGCAAGCCGCGAAGCGGTCAGATGCGGGCCCCCAGAAGAAGATGATGATGCCAGCGATGCGGCCCCTTTTGCCGCTGCGCTGGCCGCGCGCTCCTTCCGCCGGCGCCAATGGGCGCCAGGCGGGCCCCTCCTTCCGCCACGCAAAGCGGGCCTCGCCGCGGTGCCTTCGGACACCGGGGCAAAGCCCAGGGTGGGCGGGCAAACGAGGGCCCTTGTGGGCCCTGGGAGGGCTTTGAGCCCCGAAGGCTTGAGCGGGAGAGAGAGGGGGAGAGAGAGAGAGAGAGAGAGAGAGAGAGAGAGAGAGAGAGAGAGAGAGAGAGAGAGAGAGAGAGAGAGAGAGAGAGAGAGAGAGAGAGAGAGAGAGAGAGAGAGAGAGAGAGAGAGAGAGAGAGAGAGAGAGAGAGAGAGAGAGAGAGAGAGAGAGAGAGAGAGAGAGAGAGAGAACAGCAGAGGCAAGGGCGCGGAGACAGAGAGAGAGAAAGAGAGAGAGAGAGAGAGAGAGAGAGAGAGAGAGAGAGAGAGAGAGAGGAAACCCAAGCCGAAAGGGGAGGGCGGGGTCCAACCGTTTAGGTCAAACAACTAAGACCCCGCCCCCGCAGTGCGGCGCTGGCGAAAGCGCGGCCTGCTGTCAGGCCGCGGGGCGCGCAAGCCGCGAAGCGGTCAGATGCGGGCCCTCAGAAGAAGATGATGATGATGCCAGCGATGCGGCCCCTTTTGCCACTGCGCTGGCCGCGCGCTCCTTCCGTCCGCCGGCGCCAATGGGCGCCAGGCGGGCCCCTCCTTCCGCCACGCAAAGCGGGCCTCGCCGCCATTTGTTCCAGCGGTGCTGGCAGGTTGCTGCCGGCGATGCCGCGCGCTGGTCTGGCGGGCCATGCGCGTCGGCATTGCTGCGCGGGCGCCGTGAGGTGGCGCCATCAAAACTGGGCGCCAGGCTGCTGTGCAGCCGGCGCCATCTAGACTCTGGAGCTGCGCCGCAGGCGTTGCCTTTGCCGGTGGTGCTAGCTGCTCGGGGCGCGCACAGCCGGGCGCAATCGCCAGCGCGCGCGTGGGGCCCAGCTGGCCCTCATGCTGGCCGATCGCCGCCAGGCAGTTGATGCCGGCGTGCTCGGCTGTCCGCCGCAAGGCTCGGCCGGGGCTCACGCTGGCGCACTGATTGCCGGCGGAGCCTGACCTCGGGCCAAGGCCCGAACCTGCCGCGAGTGGCGCCTGGCTGATGCCGGCGCCGCGGCGCCCGCAGCGCGCGCTGTGGCCGCGCAGTTCCCCCGACTCCCCGCCCCCCCCTGGGTGTCTGGGGCGGGCAGGGTCCGGCCCCTGACGGAGGGGGTTCCCCGGGCCAGCGCTGGTGTGCGGGCCCGCGCTCGCGCGCTTGAATTCTGGTGCCGCTGGCTGCGCTGGGCTGTGGGGCCGGCAGCTGTCGCGGCCCGTGCCGGCTGCAGTGTGCCCGGCGCGACCAGGCTCGACGAGGAGAGCCGGCGCGCCAGGCGGGGGCCCAGCATGGCCCCTGTTCGGCGATTGCAAAGGGCGCCCACAGTATCCCAGGCACTGGTGGAGCCCGGAGCGGGCAAGCCCGCGCGCGCATGACAGCGCGAAGGTATTGGCCGGTGCTGGAGGCACAGGCTGAGGATACCCTGCGGACGCGCGGCTGGCATGCCGGCGGCGCGGGTGGTAGTTGAGTTGCAGTCTCCCGAGCACGCTCGGCGGCCATGCCGGCGGCTTGGGTTGGGCGCGCGCCAGGTGTATTTGCACCGGCGGCGCCCGCCGCAGCCCCTCGTCATGGGCTCTCGCGCCTGTCGCTCTCGGCGCCGGCGGCGGCTCTGGCGGGTGCACTGTCTCTCGCCGGGTTGGTCAGCGATGAGGTGTCCCTGGCCATCTTTCTGGAGACGCCCTTCATCGGCTCGTGCGACTCCCACAGGTAGCCGTGGAACGTGTCCGACTGCCAACGCCCGAACTGGCGCGCCCGGGAGAGGTCCTCCGTCACGTGGTACATCGCAGTCGCCCCGCCGATCCTCAAGGAGCGGTTGCCGATTTCTTCCTTGGAGAGCCTGGCGGCCAGCCCCGCGACGGTCAGGAAGTGCTGCACCTCGGCCCTGCGAATCGGAGTACCTGACGCCCAGCGGAAAATGGGCAGCCGTTCCTCGGTGCCCTTTATCCGCTGGGGATGATGAGCCTGGAGCCGCTCCATCGCCGCGATCGGGCAGAGCGTGCCGGCGCGGTAGTGGTTCCTCACCGCCCCGGCGTTGAGCTGGTCCGTCATGCTGCCCTTGATGTAGATTTGTGTAGCCGTGGGGGTCAGAGTTCGGTGGTTTCTATAGAATGGAGGAAATCGAGGAAGTTGCAGGGTCATTTCGCTCCACCATCCAACTTCTTGGTATGCGAACTACATGCAATATTCATGTGTTTTTCGTTGCAACTTGCATGTTTGTCTTAGAAGCAGCACGATCTGATCCACGTTTGCCTGCGATTCGCATTTGTTGTGCGCGTGCGAGCCACCCGTTTCTATTTGCAACTGCGGCGCGCTTGCTACGAGACGCGAGCGTGTCGGTTGAGTTCGGGGCAGCGTCTCGTTGAGAGTCGGCGCGCGCCGCCCCCTCGCTCGATGCCTCTGCCGCCAACGGCGGTAGGGGCATCATTGTCGATGCGCCGCTCGCTGGTGCGACTCTTGTCTTCTGCGTCCGCCCTGAATGACAGTGGCATTGGTGCTTCGACTGTCTACCCCGCCCTTGCGTCTGACATCCGCTAGCTGTATCGCAATTGACGCGCCAGTTGTGTAATCTGTTCGTGAATTGTCTGCGGGCGATCCTCGCTGCTCGCGGCGTCGGCACTGGTTTGTGTGGTTCGTGGTCAAGTTTTGCGATGGGGGCCGCGGGTCTCAGCAGAGGCCCGCGTTAGTTGCGCGGAAAGTTATCGTTTGTTTGCCGTGGGCGCGCGCCCCACCCAACGCTTGGTCGCTCCTGTTTGTTTGTGCCCCGTCGCTTTAGCAGGGCAGCGACGCGGGGCGCGATGCTTTGTTTTCGTCGCGCAATTGCGCCGCACTTGCATCATTGTAGCCGTGTTGTTCCCGCGGCCCGCTTGAAACTGCCTGCGTCGAAGCCGCCGTATGCGGCGCGCAAGGTGGCGGCACCAGTTGAGTTTTGATTCGTTTGACAAATGGCAATCCCTTGTGTCCCGCGTCGGTGCCCTGACCGCTGAGCTACGCGACCTCGCAAAAAACTAGCTCCCTCGCATTATGCCTCCCTGTTCCCTCGTTCATCCCCGCCCCCCGTCTTCATGTACCCAGTACCCCAGTTCGTCTCATTATTTAGCCCCCCCCGTGTCAACCAACGTTTCCTATGTGTAACACTTCCCCAAACAGATCTTACAACATGTCCCAGGCAGTCCTTGCAACGTGTCTCAAACAGTGCTTGCAGCTTTTCCAAAAACAGTGCCTGCAGCGTCCTCGGCAACAGTGCTTGCCAGTGTTCCCCTCTCAGTGCTTGCAGCGGCTCTTCAAACGGTGCTTGAATCGTCCAGGCTGTGCTTGCAACGTCTCACTAGTGCCTTTCAGTGCTTGCAGTGTCCTGCGGGGCGTGGAACGTCTTACAGCGTGCGCAGTGTCTCTGCAACCCAGCGGTGGAAACAATGCCCCCGTGGCGCTCTCAGAAGGACTCACCGTTAACATCGTTATAACCACCATCGTCACCATCGTCATCATCACCGTCTTCCGTCTCCTCCTTCTCCTCCCCCATTCCCCCCCCGTTCCTTCTTTTCCGTTGCATCATCCGTATCCTCATCCACTTCCTGCTCCTCCTGCTCCTCCCCCCCTCCTCCTCCTCTTCCTCCTCCTCCCCCTCAGTCTCAAACTCTTTATTGGAATCCTCACCCTCCTCCTCATCCTCCTCCTCCGTCACATGCCCCCCCGCCAGCAGTCATCAATCGGGCACATGTTGATGCCTACCAAAGTGGGCATAGTCTATATTGGCGCAGTGTCCGAGCCAGTGCTTGCAATTCTACTACAAAACGTCGTTGGTACTATGTTCGGCGCAGTGCTTGCAGCGTTTCCCCATGCAGTGCTTGCAACCTCTCCTCAAACAGTGTTTGCTACGTCTCGGCATGGGGTTCGGTATGGGCAGTGGACAACGACCATGCTCAGATGATACGTTCAATGTTGATGTGGTGATGTGACGATGTGATGGTATTGCCGTTTTGGCTCAAACCGAGGAGATCCTGCTTCCAGCTTGCAGTGCTTGAGGCCCCCTGCCCTGTGTTGAGGCTTCACTTTCTGTGTCGCACCCAGCATGGACCAACACATCGAGGATGTGCCGATGCCGTTGGCGATCGGGGGTTTGGTTGCAGGCGGCCCTCCAGATGCAGACGGCGATGATCACATTGCCGTGCCGCCGCCTCTGGCGCTTCCAGCGCCAGCGCCCCCTGCCCGCCTCGATCTCAAGAGAAGGACGCCCGAGCTCATGAGCCACGCTCGTTCCAAGAAGATGTTGTTGTGCGCCCAGAGCCGCGAGTCGAAGCTCCGCCAAGACTTTGAACAGCTCAAAAGGGACATGCACACGGCTTGTACGTTGATCCCTGCATGCGCCCAATTGTTCGGGCGGCCCGTGAAACACGTCGGCAGGATCAAAAAGGACGACCTCCGACCAGCACATTTCACTTTCTTGAGCAGGATTGTCTTTGCCAGACGCCTGGGCACGCTGAACATTGGCATCGACATTCGGCGGTTGGTGTGCGCCGCAGCCCGCGTGATCAAGGCCAGACAGGATGATGGCGTGGAGCACGTCCTCCGCGGCGGTGAGAAGGCTTTGCAGCACCCAGGTGCCAGCAATCGGTTCGTCCACATGTCATATGCTCATTTGTGGGACGAGGTCAACTGCAAGTTCGCAGCATATCCGAAGATGGGGTGCCGCCGCAGGAAGACAACCACGAGCATTCAGACTATCTGCCAGCGAGGTTGCGCCAGGCTGACCTTGGCCAACCACATCAACGACGAGAGCGCGATCAGCCGATCGTTCTGCGAGCAGATCCTTGTCAACCCGATGAAGGTGAGCGGCACTTCAGCCAATGCGATCCTACCCGCTGTGTTGAAGGCAATCCCGCGGCCATTCCAGTTCAACGCCGTGGAGAATATTGATCGGTTGTTGCGTTCGTTCTCGTCCTTCACGATGTCTCTGACTGGTGACAAGGCGTCTGGGAACATCCTCTTGATGAAACAATTCTGTCACCAATGGGAAACGATGGTGCTTCCGCGCAGCAGTGGTCGGCTTCTTATGTTCCCAGAGACGCGTGGCGTGCACTTAGAACATCGCGCAAAATTGCAAGTTGTACCGCCCAAGCACCACACAATGCGCCTCTTCAGCTTAGCCAACTTGCTTCGCCTTGACGGTGTGCGGACCAGCATATGCGAGTCGATCGAAGTGCTGGTGCAGAAGATGCTCAAGCGACGGGTCCTCGGCCCGCCGCCAGACGGCATTGCCTGCCCGCTGTCCAAGTGCATCAATGTTCTCTTCCGCCCAGATGCGGACCACCACAAGCGCGCCAACGGCAAGGTGTCTCGCAGGGTACAGGACCTGGGTGAATTGATGAGAATGGTCAACGGGGATCTCCACGGAGATTGGGTGCATTATTGCTGGGACGAGTCAACTGGCAGGCCGTGTTGCAGGGACGCCGGCACTTGCTACGACAGAACAGTTCGTTCGGTCACGAATGCGCTGTATGGCGGCGGGGACCCTATTCCAGCAGAAAGCAGATGGACGCACACCTTGGTCAATATGAAACAGTTGCTGCTGAGGCGAATCGTGTACAATATTGGCGTGAAGGCGTTCCCGTGTTCGATCAGAAAACCTGGCGCCGCCAGCGAGATGCCGCAATCCGCCGACGGCGAGGCATGTCAATCGCACGTCGCTGAGGTGAATGCGTCGCGGCTGTCACGGGTGGGCGTGTATTTTGATGACCCCAAGACTTTTCCAGAGCTGGCCTCGCTCACGGTTTCCGTGGACATCATCGACAGGCGTTTGTTGTACCCACTTTTGGGCGACCCATGGCCCGCGGATGACGACGCCCGCAGCAAATTCGAGTGTCTCCTGGACCCAGATGATATGATTGCCTGCGGCTGCTCCCGCCACCGTGCCAGCCCAGCCGCGTCGGTGGTTTTTGCGCTAGGGGGCGCGTGCGTTTTACCAGTGACGCGTTTGGTTTTTCAAACTACGATAATACCTCTGCAGCCATGACGGCCACCACTGGTGATTGTTATGACGGCAGGGGTATTGCATGTGACGAAGACGGCGGGGATGATGATGATGATGATGATGATGATGATGATGATGATGGCTTCTGCTGCTGCGAAAACGGTAACCGTGGCGATGACGACGGTGATTCTCCCGCGAGGGAGGCGCCGAAACAGTAGCACGTGACACTTAGTCACTTCGGCTGCTTCAGGAAAACGACGACGGTGACGACGACGGGGGGGAGAAAGGGGAGGAGGAGGAGGAGGAGGAGGAGGAGGAGGAGGAGGATGGGGAGGAGGAGGGGGAGGAAGAGGAGGAGGAGGGAGAGGAAGAAGCAACGAAGTAGACATTCGCCCGTTTCGCCCGAGACATTCTCTGACGCATGCGGCATTGAAATCTAAGGCCTGGCCATCGGAACGTCGCACAGGGCGCGGGGGGGGCGGGGAGGGGAGGGGGGCGGCGGGGGGGGGGCAAGGAGAGAAGAGTTGTCATATGCGGCCCGTCCGTCTTTACTTTTCCAGGGGCCGAAGTTATTATTAGGTGGTGTCTCAGGCGAAACACGTATGCAGCACTGGCGGTGTCAACGCACATTGGCGTTACAATAATGCCGCGTTCTTCTGCAATATTGGAGTTCATCTCGGGTCGGTTTGAAATAGACGCCTGAACACTGGCCTTTGGAACTGTTATTTGTTTCCACGGGCCTAGGCGACGCGGTCCCCGTGTTCGTCCGCCTCGAACGGCCGATTCGTCACACATGACGGCGCTGGCGCCTGCCCCGCCCTCGGCGCCTCTCCCGCTCAGACGCGGCGGAGGTACCGCGCGTGACGCTTCCGAGACGTGATGTCGAAATGTGCCATTGGTGTCACATGTGACAAGGCGTGTCCCCTCCCCCTACGCAACTTCCCGATGTGGCGAGGATGTCTCAGGCGATGCGCCCATTTCCAGGGGGGGCACGCGGGCGCGCGGAAGCGCGTGCAGAGGGGGGTAGAAGACTACCATCAACCGCACCAGACAGCACGACATCGCGGCCCAAGTGCCAGCG